TATACTCGAGTATATACGGGTAGTTAATTTTTAAACCTATCTTTTCCAAAATAATCATTATTTAAAATATTTTCCTTCTGCTTCTATTATTCTTGAACTACCTACTATCTGAGGATTGAAATTCCTGAGGAGAAGAGAGCCAAGTCCTTTTCCTACCTTAAATTACTAGCATCAGCCTTACAAAAAACACTGCAACATTTTTCTCTATCTTCTGCTCTAAGAGAGTAAAGGGTTAGAGCAGTGGTTCCCAAACTTGGCAACTTTAAGACTTGTGGACTTCAACTCCCAGAATTCTCCAGCCAGCTCTGTTGAAGTCCACAAGTCTTAAAGTTGCCAAGTTTGGGAACCACTGGGTTAGAGAAATCTGCTCAACCAATTTTGTTGTATTTAAGTACAATGACAATAAAGATTATACTTATACTTATGCCTTTGCAAAATATAACACCTCTATCTTGTGCATGTTTATTGGGGATGTCTCTGTGACAATCTAAGCCTTCTGACTGAGAAAGAGGATACATTTATTTATTTTCAGAATTGATATGGATGCCTATCGTATCTCATGATTCCAAACAGCTCACAGCAACAGTCATAGTTTACATCACACTCAAAATTGAAAGAGAAATACAAGTAGTGATTGATTTAACCACAATCAGGACAAGAATCTTGGTCATTAAGTGAAGCAAAATGCCACATAATTATTTCACTCAATGACTGCAATCCCAGTACTCCAGATAGTGATTTGTTAAGGGAACAGAATGAAAGAGTTGCCTTCTGATGGATGTCAGATTTGTGTGGAGATGAAATCTTTGCAGGAGGGAGCTCTTTCTCGCTCAAATGTTCCTGCAAATGCTTTGTGGTTTCCCTGAAGGGTTTCCCTCTCCTCCATGCATGCAGGGAAAATTCTTCATGAGGCTGCAGGAATGAAGCTGAACTCTTCAGGATTTCAGCTCCAGTCCTGCAGTCCATCGAAGAATTTATCTCCCCTCTGCCTGCTCTGCTTGCAATCTTCCCTGCTCCGTTTCAAAGCCAGAGCCAGCACTGTCCAAAGACATCTCCGTGGGCATGTGGCTGGTATGGCTAAATGCCGAAGGCGAATGGAATGCTGTTACCTTCCCACCAAAGGTGGTTTCTATATTTCTTTTTGCCTTTTTACATGCTTTCGAATGGCTGGGTTGGCAGAAGCTGGGACAAGTAATGGGAGATCACTTCGTTATGCGGTGTTAGGGATTTGAACCACCAAACTGCCAACCTTTGTGATCGACAAGCTCAGCGTCTTAGCTACTGAGCCACTGTGTCTCTCTAAATCATATATAGCCCTGCACTTCTCTGCAATTCTCTGTTTTGGTACAATTTACTACCCACTTACTTACCTTTCTGCCAGTGTACCAGAGGTAGTATTCAGCAGGTTCTGACCAGTTCTGGAGAACCAGTAGCAAAAAATTTAAGTAGTTCGGAGAACTGGTAAATACCACCTGACTGCCCCGCCCCCATCTATTCTCTGCCTCCTGAGTCCCAGCTGATCGGGAGGGAATGAGGATTTTACAGTAACCTTCCCCTGGAGTGGTGGAGGGAATGGGGATTTTACAGTATCCCTCCCCTGCCACGCCCACCAAACTGCACCACACCCACCAAAATCCGCCCACAGAACCGGTAGTAAAAAAATTTGAATCCCACCACACAGTTAGTACAGTTTGGTAATATTTCAGAAATATATTCTGCTATAAATTCCAGCTAACATAACATGCTCAATATGCATTATTAATCAAGCAACAAGAAGACAAATTTATACATTTCAGTTATTCCCTAAAGGTAGTAGATGATAACTATGTGACCATTGGAATAATGAATTCAAATATCCTATATTTAAAACATGCTTTAAAAATCAGAAACTAGTTAGTTTTATTCTTAGAATGAAGCTAAAATATTGTTTTATCGAACACTTCTGGGAATAATTAGTTGCAGCTACCTTGTGATTGAAAATACAGCTCAAGAACTGGAACATTAATGTATTATTATTATTATTTTTTGCTTGTCTTACTATTACCATGTATTGGGCTAAAACTGATAATCTGCTAACAATTTCAGAAAAATTGTTGCTTGTCAAGGATGTAAAGGTCTCCTTGGTTAGAACTCCCTGTACTGAAACATCATAATAGAACATTTTGGGCTCTTTCCACATAAATTATGCCTAAAAGACTTCTTATACAATGATGGACAGAAAGATGTTGTATACTACCGGTATTAGGTTGCTGGATATGTTTTTTTAGTCAGCATTATATACATATTTCAATAGAGAAGCAAAGAAATATAACTTTTACCATTATGGTCAAATTTGTAGGGAGGAATTTTATGATAAATAATTCCAATATTTTCTTTTGTTTTTTTACATCACAATGATAAGGCACTTTATTTTTTAAGAAACATGAAAAAACAAGTGTATATGAGAGAAGCAATAAAAAGGGAATCTCTTTCTCTCTTTGAATGAATTACCCAAGAATGTATTATTTTCACCTCTGCCAAGACCTGTCTGAAAGGCAAGTAATTAATTTCTTCACCTCATCTTAGCTGACAGCCAACAACAAGAATATACTGTAATTCACATGCTATTAGGCAGTACTGTATGATTTAAAATACTTTCAGAGGATAAGAGGACGAGCCTGAAGCATCACAAACCACGATTTAACTAATAAATTTAAATGTTAAACTACAGTTAATTAAGCATGCTTCGGTCCATGTTTTAATGCTGAGTAGTGCAGATTGAAAATTATACTTGGTAAACAATGATTGCCTATTTTAATACATGTCCATTTCACTGAATTCATATTAACTGCTACTTAGCCTCTAAATCAAAACATTACCTTCTGTTCATCTCTTTCAGTTGCATTATGGCATTTCTCAAGTTTCCATTGCCGTAGAAAGTCTCGAAGATACCCAAAAAGGGTGAGCACACCATAACCTACATAAGTCAGCACAGCAACCAGCATTGGTGTTTCTTCAAAAGTTTCATTGAAAGATCTGTTATATAAATCTCCATTATGTGTAATATGATGAATCTGGAGGAAATAAAATATAAAATATGGGAGTAATCAATCTCCTTTGAGCTCTTATTCTACCCAGAGACAAATAGTATTATGTTTTGCTTATTATACCTCAGAACCTAATATCCCATTAGCTAATAATCACATTTTAACTCTGTAAATAAATTTTAAAACAAATATTACGTAATTAAATTCAAATTTGCGGCTGCTTTTCATAAGATGATTTGAAAATATTTATCAACCAACTAATATCCAAAGGTACCAAACAAGGCTACTTTTTATCATCTTTACTATTCACTTTAGCCATAGAAATGTTGGCAATAACATTTTAATCTAATTATCAGGTTTTTGGAATGAAAGTGGCAGATAAGATGATTCTTTTAACTCTATTCACAGATAGTATGATTTTGATTCTCTCAAATGCTTTTTGTTCAGCCAGCCATATTAAAGAGTTAGAGAAATTTTGCAGAGTTGTCAGAACTATGAGTTAGTTTTCCTAAACTACATCTTATTTATTTTCATACTCTCCCAAAAACTAAAAAGGAAAACTCCATAGTTTTAGGGATTCCAATTCTAATATAAATATTTAATATATTTAGGTATTACTTTTAATTATTTTTTTCTTGGAATTATAGTAGTACAACTACCTTATAATGTAAAAGGAAAAATAAATAAACAACTCCTTAAAAAATCATAATTTAATTCTCTACTTGGTTTTCAATCCATAACAATGATTCTCTGATGATTCTAAAATCCAGCAGGATTTTAAACATAAGCAAGCCCCATGAATTGATATTTTGTTAATTCTGGGAATGATGAGTAGATTTTATCCTTCTGAGACTGAAGAATGACCAGCTTGAAAAACCAAATTGTTTTGTCAGAATTCTGGCTTTCCAATGTCTATTCACTGACATGAACAGTGAACATCAAGTACCATATTAAAAACTAAAGCAGCAGCATCAACACCTTGAGCAGATCATGGTTAAAAGCAATAACAGGATTTCCATTATACTGCTGGACAACATTGAGAGACAGCTGCCAGGTTAGATAACAGTTATAAAGCTCTTTATGTAGCATTAAGTTCAGGAAGAGGAAAGAAAGGGACTTTGAGAGATACTAATGCAAAGCTGTGATTACCAAGAAAACCATTACATTTTAACAGCCATAGGCAACCACCAAGTTATGACTGGACTTTGTGCAGGATATAAGACCTATGGTTTCGGAGACCAAAGTACTAGTATAAACAGCATGGGATCACAAAGGATTGCTTTTTCTCCTATATAAATCTTTCAGATCATCAACATTTTATACAGGTTCGGATCCCTAGAAGAACATGTTTTATTAACTGTGTGGTTTTCCTGTTGAATGTTAAAAATCTTTTATAAATTTATTAACCCAACATTATTTGAGATTTGTAGAAAATCTGGTAAATTGCTTTTATCTTTTTACACAACTTGCATAACATTGATTTTAAAACTGGATAAAAATTTTAAATCTTGCACAAGCTATAGATATTAAGATATTAACCATTTTGTTCCCTGGGTGATTGCAAAGATTACTTCTTTTTTAAATATAACTTAAGCTTTAAAAAAATAAAAAACTAACAGAAAACTAATATGGAGAGAAAAAAAGAAGTAAGAATATAGAAAGAAATACCAGACAGAGGTGCAGTAAAATAAAAAATACACAACAATACATAAAAAATGAATCACTGCCAACTTTTTTTAGAGCAAATAAAAATAAAATTTGAGTTCTTGTACTAAAATTATAATGTAACCCCCATCTTTATAATCTATAACACTCAAAATCTATGTTATAATTTATTTATTTTTCTATTTTGTGCAGAAAATCTACAAGTTTTTTTCTAATTGGTATTAAATTTAGCCAGTATTATTTTCAAAACATCAATAATAATTCCTGAGAGTCGATGTAGACTTGGAGCGTTTTCTGATTTCATCTTTGACAATTTTCATTATTGTCACACTCCAGGATAATTCATAATCTGTCTTTGTATATCTGCAAGTCACGGTAAATTTAATTTTCAAAGTAACATTCTATTTTTTCAGGAAAATGCCCTACCTTTTATACAAATTGGAGTAGTAATATTGATGTAAAGTTTATTGCATAATTATTCAATAAAATTGTATCTCCCTCTTGCAGCTTCAAGATTCCAACAGGACTGAAGTAGTAATAATAGCTTCAAGATCACCCCTTTTTTCTTTTCTTAATTTGCAAGCCAATCCCTTCTCTGATTTGTTGACAAATTCAAAGTTCTTTTCTTCAACACAGTTGAGTTTAGTCTTCATATCTCTTAGTGCCAACATGGATAATTGTTGTTGTAAGTATTGTTAGATATGAAATATCTGTCTTTGTGCAGAGATTATTTCTGTACATAATTAATCTTTCCCAGTAGGGATTTATCATTTTTGAGTGAAACAAGAAAAAAACAAGAAAAATACATGAACTTTATATGAGAGAATGAAAATATGGTTTCAATTTTTTTAAATAAGACATAACAAAAAATGAAGAAAAACATTGCAATAAAAAGCAATCTAGTAGCCATATTCTCTTTCATTCCCGGACTTTTTTCCCCAGCCACCAACTGCTCCTTAATTATTTTTATAGTCTTCTTTGGATACCTGCAATTATAGAAAATATATACAGTAGCTTAGGCTTCAACTGTAGAATTTTTGGTGCTCTGTGAGTATGGTTGTTTGCAGATAATTCATTGTCCAACTAAGTAACATCAGTGGTAATGAATTTGGGATTAGTTTGCCTTGCTAATGTTGATGGGGGTATGTTTTCTCCTTGAAAGTTCTTTGATTGGAGTATTGTTTTCTGCTTGATTGCTTGTTTGATTTACTCATCTGGGTGTTGATTACTGTACATAATGTCTTTTCACTTTTTTATTTCAGTTCTTAACTTTTTTATTGCCTGTTTTGAATGATGATACATTCTGCTATGAGTACTGAGAGTGGTGATTCCATGAGTGTTTTTTTGATTTGTTTGTTATAGCAGAAACTGTGATGCAGTATCTAGAAACTATAGCAGGGGTGGGTTTCTCGCCCCGTTCCAACCGGATCGGTTGGAACGAGGCCGGCGGCGTCCTCATGCACGCACGCGGCGTGCGCGCGCACGCGGTGTCCTCGCGCACGCACGTGGCGCGCGCGTGCATGCTAGCGTCTGCGCGATGCTCCAGCTGCTCCTGGAGGATCGCGCAGGCGTTCTGCACATGCGTGGAAAGCGCAAAATTCGAAAAAACCGGGTAAGGAGCGGGCGCGGGTGTGCGGGCGCGCGCGGGCGTGGGCTTCGCCGTTCCCGGAAGTTACTTACTTCCGGGTTCGGCGACCAACCGGATCGCAGGGACCGGTGCGAACCGGTCGAAACCCAGCCCTGAACTATAGCATTTCACAACTATAACTAATAGTAGGGATCTGGTACACAGATGATACTTTTATCATAATAAAAAAGGAACACCTAGAAACACCTCAATCAATCAATAAGGGAAACAAGAAAAAAACAGCACATTACTTTTCCTAGATATACTTAATGACAGCAGATTAGTAACCCAAGTTTGAAGTTGCAATGGCACTGAAAAAAAGTGACTGTTTTCACACATGCAACTGTTGCAGCATAGTCATGTAATCAAAATTCAAACACTTTGACATCTGGCATGTAATTTTGATGGTTGCAGTACCCAGGGTTAGGTGATCAATTTTGGTGACCTTCTGAGAAGCAAAGTCAGTGGGGAAGCCAGATTCATTTAACAACAGGGTGGATTTGATTTAAATCAACTCAATTTAAATCACAATTTAAATCATGATTTAAATCACTAGTAAAAAGGCTTGGTTTAAATCAATTCGATTTAAATCATAATTTTTGGAGAGAAACTGATATCTCTGCTACTCCTCTGACCTGCTGTTGACTTACTGACAGTCCCAATGTTGCAGAATATACAGCCTCATAACTAAGCTCCATTTCATGCTGAATAAACTAAATTATTTATGCATCTTAAATAGAAAACTATCTTTAGATTTTTACTCTAAAAGGAAATTTATTAAATTTGATAAAAATAAAACTTATTTAAATATAAGAAATCGATTTTTATCCATCCTGCTTAACAACTATGTTGCTAACGTGATGGTCAGCCTCTTTTCGCAACTTGCTTTTGGCTGCCATTGAAACAGGGACAGGGAGGCATGGTATTTGGGAAGGGAAGTTTTAAGTACAGGAGAGATTGTAAAAAGGGAGTTTTGTTTTCACCATCTACTGTGCATGCTGGAGATAGTGGATGGGCCCGCCAAGGCCAACTGTCCTGCATGCCAACCAGATGATGTTTTTTGAAGATGGAACTCACATGACACCTGAGGGATTTGCAGATTGGATTAGGGATGGGGTTACCAGAGGGGTGGGTGGGTCACATATTGATATTTATGATTACGCATGCTTTTGCCTCAGATCTTGCTTTGCTTAGCTGCTATCTTTTCATAACCAGTAA